GAGAGAGAGAGAGAGAGAGAGAGAGAGAGAGAAACGCGGATTTAGGGGTACATCGCGGTCACCAACCCCTCCCCCACCCTTTACATGGCCAACAGGGTGCCATGACAACGCATTAATAGGACGGGGAACACCCTCTCTCCTACGGGTATTAAAGACAGCGTGACAGACGATGATGGATAAATTAAAGACCCGGAAACCGGAATTGGCGGGGAGTTTACGACTATACTACAAACACGCGCATTTGTTTCCGCATTAATAGATACGCCTGGCCAGGAACAGGTCATTAAAGGGAGCGTAACAGGACGGAGAGTTTATTAGGTATAGGCAGCAGTGGAAAGACCAAAATAGATACCTTAATCGGTTTTCACCAGGCCAAAAGTACCTTTGATCGATTAAAATGAGTGTGAAGGGCTTTTGGTAATGTTTTTTCGGGAGGATTCATGAGAAATGCTTTTTAGATTATACGTTAACAGTTACCTAAATCAGTTGGCGCCGCTTCCTGGTTTAAAGGGACGGTGACACGAGCTTTTTAAGCATTTTTAAGCATTAAAGAACCGTTCGTGATTTATTAAGTCAACCCTACAACCCAGACGATATCGTGTGACCCTAGCGTCACGGTTTTGTCAATTGACGACACCGCCCAATTTTCTTGCGCCTAAAATTCCCACACGCCGGGTGGATTTTTTGAATACTACTGGGCGTAGGCCGTTTTGGGTTCAGTGTTTCCACGTATACAAATTAAAAGGATTTTTGAGTGATTTTAGCTCTTGAAAATTGGCTAATCCTCCTTTCCGGATTTTTTTAATTAATTTAAGAGGAAACTACAAATTGTCCAATGTGTGTTCTGCTATATCTTCTTTGAAAATATCTAAAGCTCAAGAGCCAAATTTTTACGATAAAAATAAAAATCTGGGGGTAATTCGGATGCCAAAAAGGTGTCAATTTTGGACCTCGTGATAAATTCTCTAGTGGGGAAAGGACTGCTCATTTGTAGCTTGAGGCAAGTTCCTTGATTGTGTGTGAGACACAAAGAGAAAGCGGGAGAGAGCGAAAGCGAGAGAGAGAGAGAGAGAGAGAGAGAGAGAGAGAGAGAGAGAGAGCTAATTATTCCCTCCGGGAGTTAGCTAGTGGACCGCAATTACGGATCGCCCGGCTCGGGATTCAGAATCAGAAAAGATATAATAATGCGAAGTATGATTCACAAGGCCCAGGGGAATTTGAAGGCGCCGGAAGTTGGATTTTCCGATCAAAAAGATCCCTGAGCAGGAATTTACGCGTCAATAGGAAGTTGCGTAAAATTCCGGCTTCAGGAAAGAACCGTTTTCCCCAATAATCTCTCCTGGATTGCCATGGGAAGTTTTATTTCACAACAGAAAGCTGCTTAAAAGTGGAAACTAGAGTTTCCGCAAGGATCTCTGCTAGCTTGCCTCTAGATCGTTAACGGACCCACATTTACTTACGCGACCGATTTCCGGAAATACAACTTCCCCAAGCATCTCTGCTAGCTTGCCCCTGACTTTGGGAGGATAATAGTGATTCCAAAGCCAAAAATTATACAGAAAAATACGTTTTTGCATTACTGGCAAGCTTCATAACCCTTTCAACGTCGGCGCATGAAAATGTCCGCAATAATATCGGCTAGTTTGCCCCCCAGGTTCAATAAGATTTTTCAATGTAGCGGAAATCCGACTTAACGATTTCCCTGCTTCCGGTTGCTGTACGTTTCCGGATTAGATTTTCAAGAGGTTGAGGATCATTTTCAAAGATTTTTGATTGGAATATAGAACGACATGATCGGTAGCCAGGCTCAGTAACATCCACACGAATAGAAGCTTGTCCGATAGAGCTCATTTTCTCAAATGGTTTCTGCTAGCTGACATGCCCAAAATGCTAAAAAATGGAATTTTTAGGCTTTTTAGAAGTGCAAGAAACCTGAATTCCATGTCGTAACCAAAAATTCGAGTTATGAAACCGGTTGAGACAGGAAATGTGATAAGGAAGTGAATGGCTTTGCGGTGAATAATTTTTCGAGAAAGGGGCCAGCCGCCCAATATCTTGACAACATATCGGCAGGAAGGGCGGTCTGGTCGGTCCCACAAAATATTTGAAGCTTTTCGTAGCGTATTCACCGGTATGCTGCGTTGCTTTTCGAAATTTCGAAAATATTGGTTGACTCCAAGGTTGGTCAAAAAAACTTCTAAAATCGATCATCGTAACCTAATTTCCGGCAATTGAGGCCTTCGGCCCATATCTTAGTTAATTTGACCTTGATTAACAATTTCCGGTTTTAAACTTCTAGAAAAAGTGCCAAAAGGTCAGAGATCGGGAGCTAGACAGAGAGAATTGAACCCAGAAAACCCTTACTACCTTGTAGCCAATTTCCCTAGCCGCTACCCGGCTAATATCCATATTACTAGCTGCCGAACCGTGGGAACGTGATTATTATGGGAACGGGCGCCGCTAGTCGCCCCCGCCAATTTGTCTAAATGTTGCCTTGGCCGGAGCTTTTGAGGGCTAGAAATTAGGGGGTTACTCGGGAATTGAGTATAACTTTCGTTTCAAAACAACAAAAAGGGATATTAATGTTTGGACACATTTCAGAAGGAGAAAACTGGAGTTGAAAATTTTTCCACATCCCCTTAAAAATCAGGGAATTTTCCTGCATTAAAATTACGCACTAAATTGCCCTAGGACAGGTTGGAAAATTCAGAAACTTCTTTTAAAAATCGAAGCAGAGAAGTTGAAAATTTGGCCCATTTCAAAGATAATTTTTGAGCATTTCGAACGCCAAAGCGCTGAAATTTGTAGCTAGCGTAAAACGGATTAAACCCTGATGCGGACAAAGCCAATCTGATCCATCGAAAAATCGTAGTATGATCCAAAAAAGGACCGGTGCCCACAGTCTATATTCGTCTGCCCACCACGCCACGACATCGATTTTTTTGTACGTTGGTAACCCCTTCTAGCAAACGCTAGAAAATCAGCTCGTCGGCACCAAAAAAACCCAGGACCATCCCAAATTGTGACAACAGCACCGAATGCCCAATCCCGAATGCGGCCAAGGCTTTTGATTTACAGCTTTGCTGGGGTGGAATTCCGAAAAATGGCTGGGTGGGCAGGATGTTACATGTGAATTAAAGAGGTTCGGAATAAAAAACGTTACGGAAAGAGAAGAGAGAGAGAGGGAGAGAGAGCGCGAGAGATAGAGAGGAACTCTATCAACGATGCCATTATGAAAACCCTATTAGTGCGGCAAATCGCGCTTTTACGGCCTTTGTCCATGAAGGAAGGCGGGAAAATCGAACGATTCGCCTGCTACTTTGGTTCCTCCGCTAACGGCCTGTACGCCCTCATAATGGGCCTGTGTTCCAAAAAATTGCCACGGAAAGGGCATGCAGCTGGTCCAGGAACTGGGCCGATTCTTGTGTGGTTACGAGAAAACCGTCCTAGTGGATCGTCGTGGGTTGTAAGGTTTTATCGAGCAAACGGAAAATCTTTGCCTTGCCACGGTTCAGCTACTTCCGTGCTCAGTCCGGAGGTAAGCGAGCCTGACGCTTGGACAGAAGCTAGATTCCGACTAAGGCATAAATGCCTTTCTTCGACGGCGCCCTAGCAAAGACTTTTGAGGAATTCCCAAAAGCGGATCCGGATTTGGCATTGCCATAAACGATGGACCTTTTTTAAGTTGAATCGACCTTGAGTTCGGGAGACAAGCTAGGAGAGGTTCCTTAGGAATCTTACTAACAATGCTTTTAATTGTAAGTTCTAATTAATCGCGTAAATGGGTGTATTTTGCTATATCGATTACGTAGTTACGAATAGTGATTTTTTAAGTGTTGTGGTGCTAGCTTGCTAGACCACATTAGATCCTCTTTCCCGGCTGTCCCTCCTATCCAGTGGGTAAGCCACCGGCGCGTGCCCCCTGCGGTCGCGTCGCGTGCGCCACTCCCCGCCTATGACTAGATTGTATTATCTCGTTGCGGGTCCACTTATCGGCACAGACTAGCTCTGTTGCCGATCCTCCTGCCACCATTTATGTGTTTGAATAGTTCATGTTTGACTACCAGGTCCTTTCCGAAAAGTGGGCTAGCAGGGATCCTTTAGGAATTCCCGAAATTCTGTTAATGGCGTTATTAGCAAGATTTTTTGTCGTTTTTTGTAGACTTCGAAATTTATATAATTTTATAAAAAAAATACATTACACAAAACTAACAGCAATAAGACCAGAAAATAGCAACGCTATTTGCATTTCGTAAAGCCAGAAAAAATCTCAGAGCAGACTGTGGGGATTGGGGCATTAATGGCAAGAATACTGTATGTCTCAAAGCATCACAGCAAAATTGATACCAAAATTAATAAAAAATATACCAAAAATAAAGGAGAAAAGTCACGGGGCTTGCTGATAGACCGAAAGTTGAACCGAGAATTTGTATTTGTTTTGACGACCGCGTTTTGGAGATCGTTGAGAGGGAAAAGGGGAGGAGGAGGCGATATGCCAAATCAGGGGCTTTTGCATTATCGGGGAGGGGGTTGAAATTACAAAACGTGAAAAATCATAATTCGAAACTAATAATGACAAAATTCACAATGTCGACATTTCAGAACGTAGAAATTTCAGAAAGTCGGCATTTGATTTGGCGACATTTTTTGCGTAGAATTGAAGGGTTTCCCGAGAAAAATTTTCTGAGTTGTTCATGAGAAAATACAGGTTCCCCCGCCCCCGATAATCCAAAAGAAACGCAAAAAAGTACTTTCAAAATTATACCAATTTAAAGGCAACAACATGGGGGCCTTAATGCAAAATAGAAAAAATAGAGATATGGCTCGAGGGAGGGGATTATGAGAGGACATTTGTGAGTTAGTACGTGTAATATTGTAGCCGGTTGTTTCATACTTGTACTGTCATCAGTTGATGAACTTTTTGTCGAAGATGGCAACGGATGCTGTCGGGATTTTTGACGAAAACGAGATAAAAATCCCGACACCTTTGTAATGGCTTAGTCGAAAAACCGTCGTTCCGCGACACCTCTGAAATTGTGTGGTATTAGACTTTGTCTGCGCTTCCGGACCCTACTGATTCGCTGGGCCGACGCCCTCAACTCGGAGCAGTTCATTCCACGCCTGGCCCGCCGTTTCTTGACCGCCCGTCGAGGTGGAGATCTTTTCGAGCACGCTGGTCATGTAGTCTTCCTAAACGAACTGTTTTGATGATTTAAGTTTCGTTAAAAATGCTAGTGTTTCATTAAATTTTTCTAAATCGTCAAAATTTTCGCTTTTGTAACAATGATTTCTGTTCATTTCGCCGATTGCTCATGCTCTTTTCCGCTACCATCCAACTCACATGGTTCCCGGCGTCCTTGAACAATCCCTGCTCCAGCTTCTCGGCATCGTACTCAATTTCCCGATGAATCGGATGCAGACGATCCCCATGCGGATCGCCCTCCTCGAATCGCGGCGTCAGCGCTCTCCTCAAGAAAAAGACGCAACGCGGTCGAACCGCCGCCGTCTCATCTCGCCATGCCTAAAAAGGGGATTTATCCGATATGTTGCGTTACGTGAGTACGTAGTACGTAAACGTACACTTAAACGCCAATAGCTACGTCAGTGGTACGGATGTCACGTTACGCCATGTAATTGAGTAGTTAACGTACCTCCGATGGGGAATAGGGCGGCGGGGAGTCCATGTATTCAAAAACGTCCTAAAAATTGGCCGTTAAAGTATTCAAAAAGCTATTAAGCTTTTTTATATCCCATTTTGAAAGTTGTAGTAAGACTCCGGGTACATTTTTCGTTACTCTATCTAATTCGAAGTTTCTTCAAATTTTCGTAACAAGCGAAAATATTTTCAAAAAATTTATAACTTACGCTATCAACATCGACGCCATCCTCTGCAATGTCTAACGCCGATGATGTACTCGGCTCATCATCTTGAGCATCATTCTTAGAGGTGCACGGGGTAGGGCTTTCATTGTCCTTTTTCTGAAATCGTGCAAACTAGTTTTTTATGATGTTTGCTGAGCGACAGTGTCATAATGCCGACAACTCTACAGGGTGTCCCAAAAAAAAAAGACACCGGCCGCATTTCTCCATATCGGGTCCGATGGACTAGAAATTTTGCACAGAGGTAGCGAAGCCAATTTGCCATGAACACAGCAGTTTCAGCCCGATCGGTCAGCGGATTTTAAAGTTATAGAGAAAGTACTTTTTATTTTTTATTGAGTATGGGGACTTCTTAATTTGCATCAAAAATGTGCGTAATTTTGTCATTTACGAGCTGATTTTGCATAATTTGTGTCGAAAAATGCCATTTGCTGTTTTGCGCTTCGCAAGAACGATTGCGCATGTGAAGTAAAAATGACCACAACACCGTCAGATACAAGAAAACAGAATTGTAACATAAGTTCGCCGGTTGATTTGATTTATAACTCGGGCTTGCGCCTAGGTATAAAGCCTCGATTTGGATTTAATTATTAATTTGGAGCTGGCAGAGCGCTGTGTCGAAGACAAGGTATGTCAAATTGACCAAACCTTCAATAAAATGTGTGTGAGTGCTCAAAAAAATTATTGTTTTGACGGCATTTTGTTTCTCATGCGCAAACGTTCTTGCGATGCGCAAAACAGCAAATGGCATTTTTCGGCAAAAATTATGCAAAAACAGCTCGTAAATGACAAAATTACGCACATTTTTGATGCAAATTAAGAAGTCCCCATACTAAATAAAAAATAAAAAAGTATTT